TAACCAGGCTCGGCTGTGGTCATGAGGCTACGCTAGAAGATAATGGATCATGATCAAGGAAGACGATCGTACTCGGCTAATTCGACAGGCTTATCGGCCTCTTGCTACCACTTATATGGCCCCTACAGCACAATAATCAACGAAAAAATTTAAACTTAAACGTTTTGGAGGAAAGGTCTACCCATTCCTTTCATCCCAGCCGGATGATACCAATTCCAAGGCAGAGGGACCGAGAGATCTCTCGCGAACCTAATGTGTGTACGGAGGGAATGAAAGAACGAACTCCTCAAGTTTAAATGCACTGCGAAAGAAGAATAATGAATTGATTTTCCTACCTCCAGAATTTTCAGCTATTCCCATACAGCACAGTGTTATCACCAATATTGCTATGCCTAATAATACGATGGTCACAGCGAGCTAAAGCTGATAGAATGGCGACAATGGTGAAGAACGAAACTGGCGCTCAGAAGGATCTCTATTTCCGTGTTTATACTGTAATGTGGGCTAGCCGAATAAAAACATAACGTAGAATCGCATATGAGAGTCAGTGGAAACCGCAACAGTACTGCTTTCCTTTCTATATTACTTCGTTTGAGTACTTCTCTGAAACGTTTATTTTAACCTGAAAAGGAGGCTTCTGATACATCCACACTTTAAATCCAGCGCTACATAGAGATTTGTAGCTATTTTTGATGACCACGCATTTAATGCCGTTATGTTACGAACATTTGTTTGCAAGAGCAAAGCGAGGATTACTTCAAAATATACTTACTTGCTTACAGCCGAAGGTGGCGCAACAGTAGTGTCGCGATGTGGGTCCTGACTGCTGTGAGAATGGTAAAGCTCTTGCCTCTGAAATCCACGGCATCTTTAATACAGTCATCACTGCAATTTAACCATACAGATTGAGCGACAATCAAAAATAGATTCGATCCTGCATGTAAAGTACATAGTGCGACAAAAATCCTGACTAATGACTTCTACGAGTGCGACCCTCCCCTCGCCTTTTTTTTCAGCGAGTCAAGTACTTCCCGTCAAAAGATCCTTATTGGAAGCTGGACCTTGACTGAAGTTCACAAGGTGTGGTTCTACACAAGCGAACCACAGTGAAAAAGCCTTGCAAGCAGGTAATAATGCGCAACATTCCCAATCCACTCGATCAACGTTGCGGCGCTCCAGCGCATCAGTTCGTCTACCTAGGAATTACTCTGCTAACTCAAATCATGAACTATAGCCAACTACACCCGGGAAAATGGCGATGAAATTAGTTCATGTCGTATGTGCCGCGGGCTAGGTAGGGGGTGGAGGTTGCAAGCACAGGGCTCATTCAGAATAGTAACGGCAGCAACACTGAGATTTCGCACAGCCACTGATCAATAAAAGATTCATTTTTGGTTATTCGGAGGTGTGTTGTGGCTTCCGCAGGAACCATATCCCGGATTGCTCGTGGCACCTTTACCACGACCCGTCCAGAGCTCGGCTCTTGCCCAAGCCAGCCAGGCTTTCTACGCTCTGGGGACGCTGGATGTACATCGTTTGGCCACCGCAAGTCATTGTATAGGCCACATCGCATTCATAAGCCACTACGATTCTGAATGGAAGTAGAATGCGTGCCGCATCCCACAAAGGGATTGATCAACGGCGAAGACTTATCCCTTCATCCTTTTACTCTTGTGAATAATTCTAAAGAGACACCTCTAGCCTTGTCTAGAAATCGCACCTTCTTAACATCCTTGCGTTGGAGTCGGATGGCGCAATACATGAACTATTTCCCAATAACCAAAATATGTGTTCCAAAAGCTTACAATGTCTTCAAACAACCTGGAAATGGTTCTAAACAGAATTATGGTTCTGAAAACACGTATGACACCGAATGCAACAACGACCCCCCAGCGGGGAAAGTTTTACAAAGAGGAGGAGTTTGAATGCGCTCAAGCATACCAATAAACACTAACCTAGTGCTTCACAACGCTGCTTTCCTCCCTTCGGAAGCTCCACTCTCGAGGGGATTATGAATATCCAAACAAAAAGTGCTCTCGGAGCTCCTGTCCTATTGCAGCACACATCGTGTAAAAGCTGGCTCTTGTGCAACGATGAAAAGGCGTCTTGAACGCTTGCGCGTATATCTGAATGTGCACGAACGTTTGATATTTGAGTATCCTATTAGAGATCATCTACTTTCTCTTCCTTGTCCTTTTTTTGTCTCTTCCTTGTCCTTTTTCTTAGGGGGGGAGGGTGTGGTTGTAGCGAGACCCGCTCTCGAAAAGGGATTGAATTTGGTAAAAATATATCACAACGTGATGGTATGGCAGGAAGGAGGAGGACGGGAAGGAGTTCCAGTATAATCATCACAAATAGTATTTTGCCGCATCGTCAGCTAGGCTGGGAGGAATATTGCGCTCAAGGGACGGTAAAGGTCAGCAGTCAGGAAAATTTTCTCTGACATCAAAACCACCGCTTCCACGAGCTACATTCCTCAGATCCACTGGTTTCTCTCCTCGGTGCACCATAACAAGTCAAGGAGATCACGATACACTAAAGTCTGAAAGAATTTTGCTTCTTGGGCAGATTTTTTTATTATTTAACTTTGAGTATGGGCGAATTCATACATATGGTCTGGTCGCAAGAGGTTAATGATGATATGGAGCGGACTTTGCTATCATTGTGTACCCACTACGACACCACAGCAGTCAAGTAAGCATGTTCTAGTCCCCTGTTTCTGATTGATGCTGTCACTGAACGATAAAGCCAGGCTTCGTTCATGTTAGTTTAACGAACGAAAATAAATCATGATGTTACTTTTTATCAAGAACATCAGTTATGGTGCGAAGTAATCTCAGACAAGGAACAAACTTGTTTCTTCGTGAGAAAGTAGTGAATTCAGGCTCGCTCCACTCGTCTCACTTGCAGGGCACAGCGCCCGTACGACCCCCCCCCCGAAGGAAGAAGAAAACTTCATAAGTTTAGTTAAGTAAGCCGCGAAAAAATGGAAAACAGTAAATCATCCTGCTGGATGAGGCCCCCCCTTCGCTTTTTGGCTCATTCCCTATCCTCATCTCCAGGAAAATGAAAATGGAAAGAAAGGCCAACATAGGAGAAATCGTAGAATTACGCGTGCTACTGACACTGCGTCTATTCTGCAGCTTTTACACATGACTGTTACGAGATGGATAGAAAAGTTTGGTAAGGTAGTGAGGGGTGGCTCATCCAAGAGATTGCTACGGTCATGTCGAGCAGTTAGTAAACAACTACAGTATAACACGAAACTAACCTATATAACACAAACAAGGCAAGATAAATGCACTTAAGGGCGAAAAAGAAAAAAACAATCCAGATTTAAACATTAAACAAACGAGCTAAAGCCAGTCAGTCGAAATCCAGTGTGCGTGTCGAGCAGCGAGTAGCGTAATGGGGGAAGGGGATTCTGGCAGTGACAGCTGATGTGGGACGCGAGTTTTTTCAGCAAAGTGGGGTGTCTTTGAACGGATATCATTATCCGTGTAGAGGGAAGGTTTGCGCTTCGCCAAGAAGTAGCGTGAGGAGGTTATGAAGGTCGCAAAAATCACAGAGAAATCTGCCATGAGGATTCGTTGGGGAACAATTTTCAACTGAATAGGTTTAAATCAATATATTTTTTTGTAACTCAACATTTCATAAACGGTTTGAACGAAACGGTTCGAAGAACGTTCTAGTGTTTTGAGATTTTCTTCTTTACTAAAGACCTCGGTCGAACTTGTTTCCTGAATAGTTCTCGGATTCATGAGATCTCGCAATGGCGGATTTTGAATGGCAGCCTCCAGCCGCGCGATGAAAAACGCGTTCCTGTTGTACCCGTTTCAAGTGAGCGTGTCGAATAGCAGGACGCATGCTAGAACGGATCTGTGTGTGGAGCAGGATATGTTCGTTTAGCGCCGATCACGCCAACTTTGGATGCGCCGCGCACTGAGGGCCGCGCAGAGGTGATGGGATGGTGCAACTTGTGCGTAATGTCTGTTCACGCGAGCAAATGTGTCTATGAGGTTCAGGGAGGTCCAAACGGCGAGGCCGTGCACTGTGTTTCCATGGTTTTCCGTTGCGGTAGTGATGGAACAGTGTCCCTGTCGACACTGCCAGATTCGTGAATCCGCGGCAGATTTGCTGACTCCGATAGAGGAGACCAACTGCTGGAAAACGTCTATACGAACGATATGGTAGTCCTGTCGTTTGTCGAGAAAAAAAACAGGTTGGCTCAGCGCCAAGCGCGACCGCGGCGGAACGGGCGCGCCATATCATTGGCAGCGAACCAGAGTTTGAGTTGTACTGTAGTCACCAACGGACTTACGAGATAATGTCGACTTATTAATATTTGCAGTTATTTCGGATTAGTTTGATGAATGAAAGTTTTGTACTATTTTTTTGCATATCCGAGTTCTCTACAAGTTTCGTTGTACAGGACTCAGCACATTGACAATTTGCGCTGCTCGTTACTGGCTGCCGCACTCACTACGACCCCCCTCTCCTGGCGGCCAAATACGACCCCCGTTGGGGATTCCCCAACCAACGATGTGTGCCCCTGCTCACTTGTCAGCGAAATAGTCGAAAAACAATTAATTAAACATTAAACAAACGAGCAAAGCAGTCGTCGAAATCAGCTGTTGTCCATATTTATCAAACAGATGTTGGCTAAGTTAGAATTTCGTTCTAATAGCTTCACCAGCTCTAGAATCAGGTCTTCAGGAAGGTGGGACGTCGAGAATTGGGAATGCAGGAGAATACACCATATCTATCGAACATACTGATAATGAATATAATGACACGCTGAAGCTAGTATGAGCAAGGAGGCTGAAGGTAGTAAAGGCTTCTACCTGAATCTTGAGTGCCTGGAAGTCAATGTAATCTGCTAATTCTCCAATCATTGAGCTTATTTTGTCCTTATCGCCGGATAGATATCATATCGCCGTTGCGAAGCACTCATACTTTCTGTAGGTAAGGTTATTTCAACTTTCTGGTGGTGGAGCGATATGGCTCCTCTGCGTGTGCTCGTCACTGGTGCAGCTGGCCAAATAGGCTACGCCCTCGTTCTGCAGATCGCTAAAGGAGATGTATTTGGAAGGGTAACCACTTTATAATAGCATTGAGAAGCACGTTGTTTCGTGTCATATGTGCATACTCAGGATGCGCCGGTCGTCCTCGTCCTACTTGACCTTCCTTCGATGGCGACTGCTCTAGAAGGAGTACAATACGAACTTCAGGACTGTGCCCTGCCGAATCTTGAAGGTCAGTTCAAAAAGGAGTTAGTTAGAAGCATCGCGATGATAGCAACTTTATTGCCCTACTGCAGAACCGGATTTCACAAGATCTATTGTTACTGCATGAGCGAAATTAACAGTATGATTGTCGTGAAACAAGGCAGCGAAGGTGCTTCAGTATGGAAGTAGAGACCACGGGTCGGGCAGTTTGATTGCCGGTTGTACACTGACTTGGTCGAATCCTTGTCCTTGTGAGGCGAGAATGGGTCCAAATGCAGTATCTCCCCCTTTCCTCCGCTCAACAATGCACGGGAACGAGGCTGGGGGGAAGTTGCCTCGCTGCCTGCTCCATACTCTGGTCCTGCCGCCCGGGCAGCAGGGCGTCTGACAATAGCCAAACGCGCTACTTGTCTGCCGCTAGCGTCTCGAGGGCCTGGGAAATGTAGGCATCGAGCTAGTATTTAACAGCGTGTGCCAGCGGGCATCAGCTTCCGGGAGAGGAAAGAATGGCGCGATAGGAGGGTTGCAGACAGCTGGTAAACTCGTCTACTCTCCGGCAGTCTGCTACCCTCCTACCTTCCCATATCTACCAGCTGTCTGCTAGCCTCTTATCGCGCCATACTATCCTCTC